TATATATATATATATATATACACACACGCACACAATCAAGAAACTAATTACATGAATATTAGATTTACAATTTATGGGGATTTGCTGCAGAATGAATTTGTATAGTTTATTCATGACATTAATTAAAAAAATGAAAATATTAACTGCATAATTTTTAAAAAAATATTAATAGATTAAAATGTAAATTAAAAAAATCCGTTAATTAATGTCCCAATAAAACATTTTCTATATACATATTTCTCTTCTCCAATCTTAAAAAAAAAATGATTAATCATGAAAGGGGATATAAAAGTAATGAAACAGGAATTGAAGATACATTTTTGTTTTGGTATGAGATAGAATTGAACCCGTTTACGGACATGGGCACCCGAGAAACCATTTATCAGTGCATCGTGGATTTGGATGATCATATATAGGTCAATTCTTGTTTATTGTCTAATATATATATATATATATATATGTGTGTGTGTGTGTGTATATGTATACATACACACATATATCTAGCTACATACAATCCCCTATCGGATCTGAATCTAACCCTAACCCTAACCCCATAAATCTCTTCTCCAACTGACACACATGGAAACCAAAAACCCACTTCATACAAACCCTAAACCTAACAAGCATAAGATGTGAAGAAATTTGGAGATCAACTCCACAAAACCCGTTCAGATTAAATCCTAGATTACCTTCATCGATCACATATATATCCCAGCTACCCACTTTTGATTCATCCCAGAATTTGAATTTGGTGTTCTTGTTCATCTTTCAGTTTTTAATTCTACGATCAAATTCCATCTGGCATACTTGTGCGGTTGTGCCCTATAATTGGTACTTGAATCAGAAAAACTGATCGCAGATGGATCCTTCAGCAGGAGCTGCCCACGGCCACTCGCTTCCACCTCCGTTCAATACAAGAAACTTCAATCTGCATCARTTTCARCAACAAAATTCTGAAGATGAACAAAGCGGCACCAGTGGTCTCAACATGGGTGGCCACAAAAGAGAGCGTGAAGACAAGAGCAACGACGAGATGTTAAACAACAGCGGCGGTGGCGGAAGCAGTGAAGGCAAAGACGGAGAAATGGGAAGAAGGCCAAGAGGTCGTCCGTCTGGTTCAAAAAACAAACCTAAACCACCGATTATAATCACCAGGGACAGTGCCAACGCACTACGCACCCATGTCATGGAGGTTTCCGATGGTTGTGATGTGATGGATAGCATCAGCACCTTTGCACGCCGCCGGCAACGTGGTGTGTGTATCATAAGTGGAACTGGGACCGTCACTAATGTAACCCTCCGGCAACCTGCTTCACCAGGGGCGGTTGTGACATTGCACGGAAGATTTGAGATTCTTTCTTTGTCGGGTTCTTTCCTGCCACCACCTGCACCACCGGCGGCGACGGGGTTGACCATATACTTAGCTGGTGGACAAGGGCAGGTGGTGGGTGGTAGTGTGGTAGGTGCACTTCTAGCGGCTGGACCAGTGGTTATCATGGCGGCATCGTTTAGCAACGCCGCCTACGAAAGACTCCCTCTTGAGGATGAGGAAAGTACTTTGCCGATGCAAGGAGGCTCACTTGGATCTCCGGGAGCCATTACACCACCGCCATCGCAACAACAACTACTGACAGATCAGTCGCTGTTTCAAGGCATGCCACCAAATCTACTGAACTCGATTCAATTACCAAATGATGCTTATTGGGGTAACAATGGTGGCGGTCGTCCTTCCTTCTAAAATTTAACTGCATGTGACTGAGCAAATTTTCAGGTTTCAATTCTTTAATTTCCTCTCTTTCGTTCTTAATTTTATGTCAACTCTTTTCTAGTTCTTAATTTCGTTGTTTCTAGGGTTTCTTGATTTGTGTTTGATGTTAAGATGACATATATAATTATATATATATGCTTGTATCAATTTGTATTGTAAGAGACTTTTTTTTTTCAATTTCATTCTTGTTGACAGGTTGGGTTGGTACTAAGATCGAATAAGCAGCACAAATCATTTTTTTTATGTTCTTAGTTCTTAATTTTTCATGACCCTATAAATCAATTACCACGTGAAAAAAAACCAACAATTGATTTGTGCATGATATATATGTTGATCAAATAAATTAGGCTCTAGTAGGCTCGATACACACATATACACACACGGTTGAAATTGAAGAATCATAGGCATCACGTTTGCACTGGTTCAACAATTTGTCTACATTCATTAGTTATAGACGTTATAACTTGTATCATATCACATAAATCTGGTAATACAGCAGCAAGAAAAATCGAGTGACATAAATTCTAGTCTTTGTTTTTATGGTTAATTAAGACTTGAATCGACCACGACCAATTATATCAACATTTTAATCTTAGCTTCGACAGTTACAGTGTAGATAGAAGTATGTCCGACCATCTTTCATTCAATTCTTGGCCTATTGATTAAAGGGTAATTAAGACGAGGTTGTATTCATGTGTTACACTATAATAAATTTGGATTTATGGAACGATTAAAAATGTGTAAATATCATATATATATATATATATATA